AATTGAAGCTGTGTACCAAACAGGGCCATAATATGGGAGACAACGAGCAACACTAAGGGAGACAGTTGAAAATGATGGGAGATGCTAGGTGGGGATTCAACACGATCTTGGCACCCCAACCTCCATTGCCAAACACTTAAGAGTAAACACTTTAACCCAAATCAATTGCATTCAACGAAGCCCTTTACCTAGATCGGCGGTCTAACAGATCTAAACCCATAACCCATTTCTTTGCTAGATTCATTGAAGAATTGGAGAAGCTTTAGTATTTAAACAAATCAAGGTGGATTGAAAAGCTTTTGCCAGGTTCATGCTTCAATATTTGTTAAGTTTTTGCTAGATTCTTGCACCTTTTGCTTCGCCTTTCATAGATCATGGCTTTGTGCCACACCATTCATGCTTCGATGTTAAGTTTCTACCATCATCCTTTGTATCTTATGATCGTATCTTGGACCATCTTCCTCTCCTCCTTCAATTTATTTTCTGGTTTTTTATGCTCTTTCCAATCAGATCGAGCCATGATTTTTGTAATATTCATCACAATTACTCCCTAGTTTTGACATTACTTTTTTGTATTCCATATGGTGGATTTTGGTTATAGTCATTGGATTTTTCAATTGATTTTTCTTAATTCTTAATAATCTAAAGTTTATTCTCAATTTTTGATCAAAGTGGATTGTAGTTTCTACAACTTGATTTGCTATTTAGCTTCAATGGTTTTTGTTGAGTTTTTGCAGCAAATTTCTTAAATCTTTTTTATTGTTGATTTCAATTTGATTTAGTTGTTCAAGTTAATGTTGTTGGCTTAGTTCAATGGTTTTTCTGTTCTTCACTTGCATTCTTGATTCGTGTTTTTATTTGCTTCCTCTCCACTTAGTTTTGACAATAGGAAGGAATAAAGGAGGAAGAGAGTGACAATTTGTGACACGCATGTCAACGGTAAAATATTCGATTGCATATGTGGCATCAATGTGTAGGGTGCATTTGACCATATGTGATATGCCATGCAAGCATTAACAAGTCAATTAACCATGAATATGGTCAAACTTGACAACGATGCAAAATTGTACCATTTTTGAAAAGAGTTGGGATGACATTCCGCTTTTTAAAATGCAAGTATATCAATTGTACTTTTTTTGAAAACATCTCAAGTAGTTTTGTACTTTAATCCTGCATCTATCAGTTTATGTCGTCTCACATTTTTTTAATTGAACATGTATCTTGTCGCTTTAATAATCGACACTTGCATTGATGTGAAATTTTAAATTTTAATTATTTTATTAAGATTTTAAAAATGTCTGGAGCCATTTTGTCATGATAAAATAGGACTTTTAGCAAGATCACAAAATGGCCCTATGTTTTTTTAAATCTTAATAAAATAATTAAAATGCTCAAAAATTTATGTCAATGCGAAATGCTATTTTGTTATAGTGATATGGCTTATTACTTAATTAAAAGGTGAAATGACATAAACAGTTAATTTTAACTAGTTGATGATCAATGTATAAAATTTAAAGGTATAATTTTTAAATATTTAAAAATCAAGGTAGTGATATGTAACTCACTTAAAGTTGAGATTTTTTTTTAATATTTTAGTTTTCTACACAATTAACCTTCACTGTTATTCACTCTCAAAGTTCCAACATTCGGAAGTCATGGCGACATTACCATACTCTTCCTGTGATGATAGAAAAAGGCTAACTTCTTCTCAACTTATCAAAATGGTTGGCTCTTGGAATTTCAAAGGTTTAGGAATTCTAAATCACTCCACGTTTCAATCTCTTGGAATGCATTGTTTGTCTATGGCTGAATTTGCTGAGATGAAATTTCAATTGAATGACTTCAACTTTAGTCACAGAGTTTAAGAGAAGCTTTAAAGAAACTCAAAATTTTGGGTATATTTGGTTTCTGTTTTCATTTTTTGGTTTTAAAAATGTTTTGATACACAGTTTTCAAAATTGTCTTAAAAAAATGAAATGAAAATTTGGTTGGTTATATCAATTAAAAAATAGCTTAAGAATTAAAAAATAAACTGATAATGATGGTTATAAATATTTAATAATTGTGATTAATAATAAAAATTGATTAAATAAACTTTAATTTTTAATAATTAAATGTAATGTATTTTTAAAAATTATAAAAATAAAATAACAAAATTTAAAGTTATTTCAATTTTTTTACTTCTAAAAACAAAAAATTGAAAACAGTTTTAAAAGCAACTAAATAAAAAACACTAATTCAAACAAATTTTAAAACTTCTCTGTTTTTAAAAATAAAAAATAATTTTTAAAAACAGAGAACAAATAAACCCTTAATTTCTTAATTTCTTAATTTTTCTTGTGGACTGACCGCATTATTATTATTTTAGTAAATCAGTAATAATATTTTTCTTTTATTGAAAAAAAATTGGAAAGAAACACATCTAACAATCATTCCAGTAAATTATTCACAAATAATAATTAATAAAAAATGAATTCATATTAAAATAAAAACATAATTTATCTTTTTCAAAATAAGAGTTATTATTTATTTTTATTTGTGTATAATTTGCTTGAGTAACTTTTAGACGTGAGTTTAAAAAAAATCAAAAATATACTTTGACATTTAAAGAAGGGGAAAATGATAATTAGAGGCTCCATAAAAATATTAATCGCCATTACGAATATTGAATTATTAAAATCTTATTAACAAAATATAATATTTACTTGTAACAAAGTATTTTTTGTTGATTTACTTGAAATTCATAATTAATTTTGGTAAATTCCCAACAAACATTATAAAATTTTTAAGTATATTTTATTAATTATTCAAGCAATTTATTTATATATTTACGGCAAAAATTACAAATGCCTGACTTGTGATTTATAACCAACTTTTGTAAATTTTCATATAACATTATAAATAATTTTAAATGTATTTTATAAATTTTTTAAAAAATTTATTTATATGCTGATAATAAAATTATAAGTAATTGATTTATAATTTATAATTAATTATTTTAAATCTTTAACTAATATTATAAGTAATTTCAAATGTATTTGATTGATTTTTTAAGTGATTTAATTATATATTAACAATAAAAAATTAAAATTCATAATTAACTTTTATAAATTTTCAACAAACATTATAGATCTCAACTGACTATTTATATTTTTTAATTGTATAAAAGAATTATAATTTATTATTAAAATTTCAATAATTTAAATATGAAATTGTAATTAATGTTGCTATAACAATTCTTAATTGTTATTTTTTCTTGCCCTCCCTTTGGATGGAAAGAAAAATTAAGAAGAGAAAAATATAAAGATAAAAGAAAATTAATAAAAAAATATTATCACTCTTTATATTTAGATAAATAGAAAAAAAGAGAGGAAAGAAAATGAGCAAATAATACAATGACAATAATGCCCTTTATATCAAAATATATATTTGTAATGTAATTACATATATAAAAATATATTGAAAGTAAATATTATATAAAAAATTAACATAATTATAATAATTTAAAATCAAATTAGTTGATAGAAATTTCTTTCATGTTATTATATTTTAAAAATATAATAATTTAGTAAAATATGTTATTTTTATTTATGAAATTAAAAATGGATAATTTTTTAAAACTAAATATAATAAAAAATGAGGAAATTTCAATTCAACCCTTGGTTTGTTGGTGAGAACATTTTACTTTTACATAAAGTCATGAGTTTCACATCAAGCATATATAATTATATAAACATAATATCACAAAAATATGAAAGATACATATTTATAAAAGTTTGCAGTTGCAGAGAAGATGAGACATGCACAGCATTGAGACAGAGAAATGTAAGGTCATTAATTTTTAGATCAAGGGCTTTTATAATCGTAAAAATTGTGTGAATAAGCATTACAATATTTTATGATAATTACTTTCACTTATCATGGTGTAGCAAGTATAATGTGAATTAAAGCACTAAGGACTTCAAGTGAAAAATGAAGGACAGAAGATGGTGAAGTAAAGACTCGTGTGCAAAAGAATAAAAGGATAGATGTAAAATAAATATTTTTTTTCAAAATCTCTTCATTTGTGAAAAGAAAACTTGGAGAAAAAAATATAAGTTCCCAAATCTCATTTTCTCCTTTACTTCTCCTTTTGTTCACCTGTTCTTTCTCATTCAAATTGAAAAAAAAAATGTTTTTTATTTTATTTTCATATTTTTTTTTCTTTCATGTTTTCTCCTATTTCAAATAAAGTATAAAGTATGGAAGAAATTATGGGTTATAGCTTCACATTCAAATACCAGCAACAAATGACACATGGTTCTTGATTGCACTTGATGAGTGCATTCCATGCTCATCACTTCAAGGGCTCATCTGAGCCCTTAATTTTATCTTTAGTTGATATCTACCATTTGTTTTAAATTTATTATTTAATTTGTTCAATGTTATATTACTAAAATAAAAAATTATAAAAAATTAAAATTTTAAAATTAAATATATACAATCCAGAATATATTTAAATAGTAATTTATAAATATTAAAAAAATTTAATATCAACTTAGATTATCCAAGTTATATTTATACTGTCCAAAATATATTTGGACAGTCAAATTATAAAATTATAAAATATTTTAATATTAAATTAGATAGTCTAAATTAAATATGCACTGGCTATATTAATTATAAATAAATTTATTAAAAAATTTATAATTTTTATTTTGATAAATATAAAATAAAAGTAAATTTTTTTAAATATAAATAATTCAGATCTCATCAATGAAAATGAGTAACATGATGCCCGTCTCCTAGAATCCATATTCAATATTAAGATTTTCATATTTTTAAAAATTGTTATTTTAATAACATAATATTAAAATGGATGGCAGAGATTACATGGTGATAAACTCAAGGGCTCAGATGAGCCCTTGAGATGATCAGCATTCATGATGAGCACGGACTGCGGACGCGTCGTGCTCGTATGACGTTGGTTCTGCAGAAAAGAAAACAATATAAACGCAAAACCGGGTCACCGGGGCGTTTGGGGATCTTCGCTGGGTGCAGGATCTCTCAGTTCAGATCAGATCTACTCAATTTTAGAGTGGCGTTCAACATCGGCAAAGGAAATGAACAGATCAAGTTAATACACGTGAGGTTCATACCTTGATTGACCTGGATTCCCTTCAAACTCGTCTTCACTCTCCGCAGAGTGATTTTCTGTATATCCTCGAGTATTTATCCCGCAAGAAGAATAGGGGTTTACAGGAGTACATATAACCATGGGTCTGCTTTTTAACCATCGCAGAAGCATTACCGCTCTTTATTTCGTCTTGTTCCTGAGCCTGTCGCTGGCCTTAGCTCAGGTCTCTCTCGCTGTCCTCGTTTTTGTGTATTGCGGTTAATTTTATCTCTTCATTCTCTCTCCATATGCTCATATATACCTGTAAGCATCTTGATGGTGATTTGTGCCACTTTTTAGGATTCTCTGCTAGACACTGAGATGGAAGACTCCGGTGGGTCTCTGGATTTGGGCCGCCGTAGCCAAGTGAGCGTCATCTCTCTTTTTATCATGTATTTAATGATTCAGTTGTTGGGAAAAATTAAATGAAACGCAAGATAAGACGATAGAGTAAATAATTTTAATGCAACGAATTTGCTGGGTGGGTGTCATGAGTCCGGATCTCAGAAAGTGGAGTTTATAATATGAACGAGCCCTTCCTTCCATCCTTTTTTTTTTTTTTTTACTTTTACTCGTAAAATTGATGCTTCCACTGAGAGGACCATGTGATGTAGAGAGGTCCCTACCCATGAAGGGTTCACTGGTAAGAGGCCGTTCGTGGTGTGAAGCAGTGAGGAATGTTGACCCTCGAATTGGAGTGCATTGTTGTGAATATCGAGAGTCTTACGAGTGAAATGGGAATTATAACTGTAAGGGGCTTTAACATCAAATAGGCCAGTCTTTTGGGATGTGTTGGACTTCTGCTCACAACGGTTGGTTACGAGAAAAGCTTCATCATAGAAGTTAAGATTTATTTTTTTAATAAAATCTTTTTGTCTATTTTATGTGCCATGATAAATGTCAGTTTCCGTGGACAGATTACCTTGAAGAATCTAGGCAACTATGCAGCCAAAAACAACAATGATGCGACTTTTGACGGCATTGCTTTTGGCTTGGACTCTGGGCTTGGAGTCTTTGATGCTTTTTTTGCCAGTCTATCAATGATCATCGTTAGTGAGGTCAGTTTTTTTGGCCAAAGTCAGTCAGGTCAGTTTAAGCACTCCAACTGTGAGTTATTAGTCACCAAATGCATCTCTGGTTGGTTATCAATGATGAAGCAAATTTTTAAAATGTGAATTTGTAAGCAAGTAGAATTGGTCAAGAGTGAAGCCGTAGGATATGGAAGAAGGGGGGAAATAGCAACACACTTGAGGAGCACGGTGCAATTGGGATTTGTATGCTGCATTCATATTGGTCTGTTGGAGTAATCAAATCACGAAGAGTGTTTTTGTTGCTCCTACATGTTGACTTTTCTCTCAAAGTGAAGACCTAGTAGCCAGTAGGAGCAATCATGTTACCATGGATGCTTTTGTTACTCCTACATGTTAACTCTTCTCTCTTTGCTTAATGTCTTCTACTGATCATGCTTTTTGAATGACAATGATGATGCTAGATTGGAGACGAGACATTTATAATAGCAGCTCTTATGGCAATGCGTCACCCTAAGTCAACTGTCTTATCTGGTGCACTCTCTGCCCTTATTATTATGACAGTAAGTGCCCTTGTCCTTTGTTTCTTTTTCAGCTCCAATACATATCTTTTTGTGGTTATGATCATGTGACACTAATGGAAAACTGTGCAAGAAGGGGGAACACATCCCTAAAAATTGGCTTGTAACTTGTAAGAGAGGAAAAAAGCTATGCCTCTTAAGGACCGCTTGAACTACTTGTAATGTTTTTTGCTTGTTATTGTAAGGAAATGGTTTCAATAACCATAGAGCACTTCTGAGGGGCTCTAACTCTTATTATTGATGTTACCAAGTTGTTATATGTGTCAATTAGGTACTTTCTACTGGACTAGGTAGGATTGTGCCAAATTTGATTTCAAGGAAGCATACAAATAGTGCAGCTACAGGTAAATCCTCTGGATTAGTACTTAGCCCACAGCTGTATTCCTGTCTTTTCCCGTGAGGATTTTCTATATATATATATATATATATTGTGAATCAGGAACAAGCAGCAAGAAAAATGATTTGAATGTTGCTTCACATGAATTACAATGGTTGCATCTGCACTGTCATTGAAGCTTTGTGAATAGCACTTGTTTGTTTGTTGGACGTGACGTAGTGATCTTGACAGGTTTAATTTTAGTTTATTTGTATTTTAAATTTGACTCATAGTTGTCATGTTAATTGTTATAAGATCTATGATGCCCCATTTGGTATCTTGGAATTGGAAGTTAGCGAAATAGAGGTGGAAGTGTTTGTTTTGCTTGTTTGGTGTCTAGAACTTAATTACCACTTCCATCAAAATGCCCTGAAGCTGATTCCATCTCATGGGGCTTGGAGTTACTTGGCTTCCATGGAACTGAGATTTTGTGACACTTATACCCTTGCGTGTTGAAATTCTTGACCAAATTGTTCTCCAACATCTTGAGCAACAGTGAGCTAAGGCAACGTTCACGTAGTAGCTGCAGCAAGTGGAAATCAGATCAATGATGGTTGGTGGAGTTTTGAAGGTGGCAAAACCCACTGCAAGAATTTTTAGATTTACAATAAACCACATACAAATCCAACCCAATCAACAAATAAACCCAAAAACAACATGATTTTATCAACTCATAAATTTGTTTGTTGGTGTCCGTTGAATTTTAGGGACAGTCGTGGAAATTGTTGGACGTCATTGCAAGATGTGTCCTCAGTCTCTATGATGTAGTTGACAACAATGGCAATGCATCCAAAGATTGATGAAGTGCAACACGGGCAGATGGGGATGGGGGTCTTTTGAAGGGGGAAGGGTTTGCTAGGGTTGGGGGTTTTTTTGAAGGAGTTTGCAAGTGGGATTCTCCCTCTCCCTCTCATAAATTTTGGCAAGGCACTTTGGTCTTTTAATATAATAAGTACACATCCCATTCCTTTTCTTATTCCACTTTCTTCAATATCTCTTCGAACAAACAAATGTGGTATAAGATTTTAATTTTCATCTTTGTGCAAAAGACATCTGATTTTTTCCTTTTTGGCAACTTTATTCTGTGAGACTACAATTATGTACCCATTTGCCTTTGTCAGGTTTCCAGTCTAAGTGTTCAGGATGTTTCATGATTGTGTTGGTGATCAAGATTTGTTCTTGACTTAACCTAATTTGCTTCCTGTTTGGATTCTCTTCACATGGACATTTTATTTGTTCTCTGTTCATCTAAATTTAATGAGAATCTTTATTAACCATATTTAGCCAAAATGAACAATATAAATGACCCAACTGCCCCGCATTAGAGTTTTTGACTGGGTTGTATGTCTTATTCTTTTTTCTTTATTATTATTGTTGTTGTCGTGGTTGTCTTCATCATTATTATCAGGTAGCTAGTTCTAACTTGGTGACTTTTGTTTCTATTGTTTATGTGTATTGGACTATTGGTTTACATATTTCATTCATAATTTGTGGTTACAGATGGGTGTTCCGTACATTTTATAGGTTCTAGAGAGATCATGTAAGGCTTACCTTTATAATTTTTTTTTTATTATTATATGCAGTTCTTTATGCATTCTTTGGGTTGCGATTACTTTATATTGCTTGGAGATCAGATTCAAAATCTTCACAGAAGAAAGAAATGGATGAAGTAGGTATTTATGTAATATTTACAGTATAATAGTTGAATTATTGATATAATTCTGTGCATTTCTAGTCACATGGGGACATGGATGTCTAGTTTCAAATATCAGTATTGGGTTTGAATTTGTTGACCGGAAAGGTTTGAAGCATGGCCATAGCCATTCACTATATTCATTTGTCATCCTAATTTTAAACATTCTACTCTTCCAAGAACAAGAATCTTGCTTAACCAATGAGGTGTTATGTTATGTAATTATAATAAATAAGAAAATAATTAATATTTAATTAGGGTTTAAATAGATTTATATATGATTTATGATTTAAATAGGACTTAGATAGGATTTTATATTTAATTATTTTACTAGTAGGACTTGGATAGATTAGGATATGTAGTCATGTGATAATGATGCCTATAAATAAGAGGCAACAGAGTACCTAATTTTAGACTATGATTTCCTATGAGAATTACATATTCGGATTTTCTCTCTATGTTCCCTCGCTTTGTCTCTATGTTCCCTCGCTTTCTCTCTCTTTCCTATCTAAATTCTGGAACAGTGGTATTAGAACCGTCCTTCCTCGGACTAAAGAAATAGTGTTATATAGTTATAATTGATAAGAAAATAATTAACATTTAATTAGTGTTTAAATATATTTAGATTATTTAAATAGATTTATATGTGATTTATGATTTAAATAGGATTTAGATGGGATTTGAGATTTAGATATATTACTGTGGGGTACTTTTAACTGTTTCACACATCTTAAGTAAACTTAGTTTTTTTTTCTTGATATCATAAAAAAGTGAGATGTACTTTCCTTTTTACCCTTAACTTTAAACGATAATACAGCTACATTAAATACCTTCACATTAATTAACAAAGGGTAAAATTGGAAAAAGTGGTTTGATTTCTTATGGGAATTACATTTTCGGATTTTCTTTTTTATTTCTCTGGTTCGTTTCTATTTTCCCTCTTTCTCTCTCTTTCCAATCTAAATTCCATAACATGTTATGAAGCTGCTGCTTACTATTATAGTTCTCCTTTCCCTGCTTGGTCTCCACCCGGGCATTCTTAGCTATTTATTAATTGATGCTTTATAAAGCATCTCTTATGCACTGTATAGTATTGTTTCCCTGCTTCCTTCTCTTTTCTTCGGTCAAATTTGGTAATGGCTCTGAATGTTATTCTTGTCAATCAGGTGGAGGAGAAACTTGAAGCTGGACAGGGGAAAACAACCTTCCGACGCTTTTTTTCAAGATTTTGTACACCAATATTTTTGGAGGTCTGTACCTTTTTTCCATAATTTGTTCTGCTGTATGGTTATAATCACATCTAAGATTGTACTCTTCTCTTTGCAGTCTTTTATTCTAACATTCCTTGCCGAGTGGGGTGATCGTAGCCAGATTGCTACAATTGCTGTAAGAAACTTGATTTGTTGGGTTCAGTTTTTTGTTTATTTTTGGCATTGTTGTTCATGTTTGATGTTTTATATTGTAACCTTTGGTGTTTCATGTTGGCAACTTAGGACGTCTCATTTTCTTAGGAAATGGATAATCTTAAATGTGGAGGGACAAAAACATTATATGACCCTTACTCTTTGGGGGCTGCATCCTCTGCTGTGAGAGTCCCCACAGCAGATGGGTCTTGACCTCCCTTATAGGATTATAGGGTTCACCTCCTTTTTAATGAATTTACTTATTTTTGTAGTTAAAGCATCCGTGCTGTTCAAGCGAAATATTCTTTTTGTCCTGTCCATTGTGGGTCCATCACTCAATTTTTAAGACCAGAAGATCCCCTTTTCGAATGGCTTTGCACATACTTATCAAATGATATAATAAACAAATCAACGCTCAGAGTTCATAAATTTTTGGGATCGTGTAACAATCTTGATTGCTATTATTATCTTCACCATCATATCTTCAGTTTATGCGTTTGCCAGAAAAATTCATTTTCCTCATGACCTCTAATTTATTTGCTCTGCAGCTGGCAACGCACAAAAATGCACTGGGAGTGGCAGTTGGGGCCACTTTTGGACACACCATCTGTACGTCGCTGGCAGTGGTGGGAGGAAGCATGCTGGCATCTAAGATCTCGCAGCGCACTGTTGCCACGATTGGCGGCCTGCTCTTCCTTTGCTTTTCTATATCGTCCTTCTTTTATCCTCCTCTATGACTGCTATTGAGAAACTACAAGTTCAATCTTTTTTGTTTTCAATTGTCATTTCAATAAGAAAATGATTTAAGAAAAAAATGGTTGTTTTTGGATCTCGACAACACGTGTCCCCCTTCCCTTTCTTCTTGTTATAATAGAAATTCCATATCTGCACCGCAGGTAAGCTGGATCTATAGCTTTTGCGTGTATTCTTTTTGTAAAAATATTTTTCCTTTCAAATTCGAGTGCCCGTCCTTCGAAAGTTTTTATTAATTTCTTTTTTTTTTAGCTTCTTTTTCATCTGGAAGGTTAGTCTTTATAAATGCATTTTTATTTATCACCACTACATTAAAATAATTTAATTAACGTTCAAAATATAATCAAGGGGCATATTCGTTTAACACAAGTGCGGATGATGATGATGATGTCCGAAGTTACTATTACTGCATGACAATGGTCCTGTAGTTGGGGAAGCAAGCATGACGCGTTTCGACAATCTTTATTGGATCGGAAAGGAGTAAATAAAGAAAATCATAACCCGAATACCTTTATAAGTCTGTATAATTAAAAAATATATATTATATAATAGTAGTCACGTGCCCTTATATCATGAGTGTCATTGTATTTTTAAGAGTGAACTAATATGACCTCCCTAGGGCCTCCCTCCTCCTCGCTCGCCCGCCCGCTCGCTCGCTCGCTCTCTCTCTCTCTCTCTAATCTCCTGAGGTCTCATTTAATCGGCGACAATCATAAGATTAATTTTTCAAGAAATTTGATGGCTATTTAAGAAGTTGTCTTTATTCGATTTTGTAATGATTTTATAGAACTAAGACTGCTACTATCCATGTGATACTTATTTAGAGCCTTACTCTTATTTTTAAAATATACACTTTAGTTTAATTTTTAACACCATTAGAAATATTCTTTTAAAAATTATAAAATATTAATTTTTTAAATATGTTGAAAATCTACAATTACTAATTTTCCCTTATAATTAAAGTGTATACTCTCTCTCCAAATTTAATAAATTTTAAATAATTGATTGTGTCAATATATAAATAAATAATTTAAAAATATAATCTGAAATTAATAAATTTTAAAGAAAAATAAACATAAATTATATTAACTATTTTATCTCTTATTATTTAAATACCTATTTCATTAAGTTTCTTTGCATATGTGTGTTTGTAATATTATTTTAGCAATTTATATATTTATTTTTAAAAAAATAATAAATAAATATTTTCACATAACTAGAAATAAAATATAAATAAAAAGGTAAAAAAATATATGCATTAATTTTTTTATGTTTTAAATGATTTTTTAAAAAACATTTATGTTCAAATAGTGGTTTTTTTTTGGTACAAAAAGAGTGATATTTTGATTCAACAAATGTGACTTAACAGTAAGTAATTGGGTGGATCAAAATAAAATCTTTAAATCAGAAGAAAGGTTTGTATTTTGTGATTATTGATTTTATGGGAGGTTTGCATAGGTTTTTAAAATAGAAGAGAGATATATGTAATTGAGATAAAATATATGGGAAGTCAATGTATTTTCTCTACTTTTAATAATTTATCGTTTTGCAAGTTTAGAGTTTCATCCTCTGTCAATAATATTTTGATTATTTTCTGATAATTATCCAAACAAGCTAAAATACTGATCAGCACGTTGTATGGGCGTATTCTAAGCAATAGATTTGTGCATTGTACAGGTATTTTTTTAGATTCTGACCAGTGTAATTCCACACTATCGCAAGAATGATTTACCTGATAAATTGCAATTATCAATAAAATATTTTAAAAGAAAATACAAACAAATGAAAAAAAAAACCCAATACAAGGCATATAATTAAATATTATCATTATTTAAAAGCCAGTAGCTTGCTTTAAGAAAATATATAATAGATTAATGATGAGGAAACATAACTTTATATTCATGTACTTTGCTTGCGCTTTTTTATTAGTTCCTTTTTTTTATGTTTTTAGTCCCTGCATTTTTATTTTTTATTATTTTAGATATTTTTTATTGTTTTAAATCTATTCATGAACAAAGCATAGGAACCTTGAAGGGATCTGAAATAATAAAAAATAAAAATACATGAACCAAAAATACTGTATTTTACAAGGATCAATAGCAAAACACAAGCAAAATATAAAGACGTAAATTTATATTTTTTTATTAATGATTGATTGTTATTGAATAGAATAATATTGACATTTATAATTATTAAGTTATAATTAAGATGGAAATTTTGGAGATGAACTTAACTTCTGCACATTTCTTTGGGTTCCCTTTTTTTTTTAATATAATTGGGCTTGTTTGTTTAAAATTAAAAATAAGTAATTTTTAGATAGTTTAAAGATTTTATAAAAATATATTATTTTGTAAAGATCTTATAAAAAGCATACATTAGTTTATATTTTGTTACCATAATAAAAAATAATTATTAATGGTTTATTCTTAAATTTTATAATATTTTATTTGATATTTGTTTTATAAAAATAATTTATTAATTAATTATTTTAAAATTTTATGATAAATTTTTGTATTTGTCATTTTTAAAATATCATTTTTCATCTACCACATTAGATTATTTTTAAAATTTATTAATAGTAACTTAATAAAATAATCAAAAATATATTTTTTGAGGAATTTGATTATTTTCTAAAGTTTAAGCAAAAATCATAAAAATTAAAATTTAATAAAATATATTTTTTTTCAAAAAATAAGTGATTTCTTATTAAATAAGATGAAACAAATGGGCCCTATATGTCATCTTGAAAAAAAAATCACTTTTAGATTTCATTAAAAAAACTAAATACAAAAAAAAATCCTATGAAATCATATAATTACTTTGAAATTTTAAGTTCTTTATGCAAGATGTCAATTACTACTAGATAATTGTAAATCATTGATGCTTAGTTGTTAAAGGGAAAACTTCATTAATGACTATCAAGGAATAATTAACTGATAACTGAGTATAGTAAATTGATAACTTAAATAAAAGACACGGGATTTGACAGTAAATTTGTAATTTCATACAACTTTTTATATTTAAATTTCCTTTTTTTTTTTATAAGCACGAGGAGCAGGCTGTGCCATAACAAAAATTATCTTGCCCAAATACAAGGTATTAAGGGTATCCCAACCACTTATTTAATTGATGATAGCCCCATGCCAAACTTAATTGATATATTTAAATTTTTAGTGTAAGATATGTAAGATCCTGGTTTCCTAATTGAGGCTTTAAAATCATTAGAGTTTGATTTGGGAATTATATTGGAGATAATTATAGAGCCAAATAGGTGGTCACAAAGCTATATTATTTTTGGAGGATTCAAGGTTCTGGTCTTGTCTCCTAGCAGACATGTCTGTGAAGGTCTACATCCGTTCACAAATACAGATAGAAAGGGAGGAATGGAGTCCTTGGTCGTGCATGATCTGGTTGATGCAAGAAGGATGGACATCCGTTCATGAACGAAAGATGAATAGGCAAAATTGCCCTTCGATGTTCACCCACAGGCGGACAAGATTATAATGTGCTCGGCTGATCACGAACGTCATCACTGACCTAGTTTATAAATGGAGCTTTAGATATATGTTTTGAGAGAGGAGAGAGGGAGGGAGCCACAGAGAGAGAGAGAGAGAGAGAGAGAGAGAGAGTTAGGGTTCATCAATTTTGAACTTTGGAGCATGAATTTAAGCTTCCCAACCCTCTAATTTATGTTGGTAATTGCCGCTCTCTAGTTGAGAAACTTATACGAGTAACTTTAGTTGTTTAAGCTTAGCAATAGGTAACCACATTTAATTTACCTCACCTACTTAACTTGTTTTAGTGTTGCATTTTTAACCTGCAGTTTATATATAATATGATTTTTTGAGAAGATATCCAATTAAGTGGGATGCTTTATTGATTTCTTCATATGAATATATACTAGTTTTTGGAAGTAAATTTTGAAGAATTATAAAGTCATTGTCATGAGTTGAATATGTTGATTTGTGTATGAGTTGCATTTGTGGATGCTGGAGGTTGTTGTTGGGATATGGACGTGTGTTAATATTTGTTACATTTGACATGTGACACTTCCCGAGTTCAATTAGAGGAATAAAGAGGTTATAAGGCTTATGTTTGTAGATATACTTGTTCACATGATTTATATTTCAAATTAATTATTATATGGTCATGGCTCTTTAGCTCTTCTCACTCAATTGCTCCCAAAAGATGCTCTCATGCATTTTAAATTATGTTGTAGTTAATAGGACTCTCCAATCTCATTGCGTAGTTTCTAACATTTTTTATAGGCAAAGGCCTCAAAGCTAAGGGAAAGCAGACAAAGATTCAATGCATCAATTATAGGTCTCAAGTCCACTTTAATTATCATGTTTTTATTTTGTAGTGGCTGGTTTAAGATTATGCTGCATAACATATTTTATATTTTAGATTACTATTTATTAAGGTTTTAAATTTAAATTTTTAACTTAAAATCACCCATCCAAATGTAACCATAGTGTATTCATTCGTGTGATTTTTTTTTAAAAAAGTTAAAGGGCAAATTTGCCTATGAGCTTTTTTGCCATATGCAACTTGTATCATTAACTTTTAATTGGCTCAATGTTATTTCAAAAGTTTAAAAATTGATGTAATGTTGCTTCATAGTAATATTTGACTAATTTTAATTGTAATTTTTAGTGTTAAAGGACAAATTTGTCGTGAAAATTTGTTAGAAGGAGTAACTGGTACGTTAGATTTTTGATAGCTGCAATGTTTTTGGATTATTAACTTTTAAATCAAAAGAATAATCAAACACAACCTGTCATAATCCAAAATTAGAAATAAATTTTAGGTTAAATTACATTAAATGCCATTAAGTCAAAATTTAAACTAGTTTATATTGTTTATGGGCAAGTCTAAACATGTTTATGCCCAAGCCTATGCTACTTGAGAAATGCTCATGGACAAAATAAGGGTAAGCTATAATTTCATAAGAAAGTATGTGAAATACCCGAGGTGTAATTATTTTTGCATTAAAGCAACCTTAAGTAAGATCATTTTGTTAAAATTTAAAAATATAAACTATTTTTAACAATGATAATAAATTGTTAAATTTTTCATTTGATTTAAATATTAATAACTCCAAGACGTTGCACTACTAGAAAATTTAGGATGCTAATTGTTTTTTTTTAAAAAATTTTAGGACAAAATTATTCTCTAACTCCAGTCAGAATTTTCAACTAACAATAGTATAAATTGCACCATTTTTAAAAATTTTAAAATAATATTATGTCAATTAAAAGTTAAAAATAATCCTTTTAAAAATTATTGACAACCTGTATAAATTAATTAAAAGTAATTTATAATTTTGAAAAGAGGAAAATAATAGTACAAAGAAAAAGGGGATGGTGTCTTGTACATGATCCCTCTAAAGCATGCAAATTTTGCGTCGGGAGATGCGGTTGCGGTGAGAGGATATGAAAGCAACGAGCATTATCTTCAATCTGGACCTCATTGACTGGCCCAACCCCTCGGAATCATCCTCCTTTTCTTTGACCACAAGTGGCTGAACGAGAGAGCAGCCACGAGGAAGCTTCCTGCGAGCGAGAACCACTTCAACTTCTTCTCTTCAACGTTCGAGGAGGCTGTTGTTGAATCATCAAACTCGGACTCTGACCCTTTTGCAACCCGCCTTTTTTTCTATCCCTTTTATTGAACCACTACCCCCAGATTTTCACTCATGCATACTCCCTCCAAATTATTTTATAATATAACGTATTTCTTTTTTAAAAAATATTGCCTCTTTTAAAATATAAAATATTTAATAATTTTCATAACTATATTCTTACCCTTTTCTTTTAATATAAGACCATGGTAAAAACTGTATAAATTAATCAAAATTAAATTATGTCAAAAGTCATGAGACTTACAGTTAGCGGGTAAATTATCAAATAAACTAATATCAACATTCTCTCTTGGTACTTGAGACAGTTAGTGAGTCAATAAATCAACACATTTATTAATTTTTTCATAAACATGATTAAAAATAATTTTTTAATTTTGCATGGTGAGATTTTTGATGTTACTGATAATAGTTAAGAGAGTGTGGCTGTTATTCTTTTTAACAACTATACTCCTCCTTCATTTATTATTATTTTTTAAAAAATCATGCATTGAAATTTTAAATATTATCATCAAAGCTCTTGTATAAAATATTTTAATAAAGATATAAATAAAAAGACATGAATATTTATAAGAATTTAAAATTTTAACTAATATTATTCATAAATTATAAATTAATTAATTATCACTTATATTGTAACGATGCAGGAGGACGCTTCACTGGACCAAATGATTCATTCATTCATTCATTCATTCCCCCCCCCCCCCCCCCCAATGTGGCGTGCCGCCATCCCCTTTTCCCATTTCCAACTGCCGCTGTTTTGGACCATCCGATTAGGGTGCGTTTTTAATGAAATCATTTCAATATTAAATTTATTCACAATTCCCCAAAAAAAATAAAAAATCAGTGAGAAGTTCCGAAATAAAACGCGGGACGGTGAATCGGATCACAATACCGTTGATCCGTTATTTGTACACAACAAAGAATCCGAGAGTGAGATTGGAGGCCAGTGCACCCAAAGCCAATGGGATTGATCGCGGAGGACGGGGGTGACCGCCACATTGTGCTTCCGCCGCCCAATTTCTCGATGGTCGAGGACAACATTTTTCGATCAGCCTTCCCTCGACCTCCCAATTTTCCCTTCCTCCAAACCCTAAACCTTCGATCTATCATGTGAGTTCTCCTTCCTCTTCTTGTCTTTTCCCATATTTATCGCCGACCGGTTTCACATTACCTTTTCTTTTCACCATTTCCAACAAAGAAACGTAAATGCGTCCGCTTTCTCTTTTGCGCTAGTCGGGCAGGCTGAATCAGAATTATTCGCATTTGTTCCTTTCAATTCATCCAATCGCCCGTGCTATTTTGAAAATTTAACAAGAAACTGATAGTTTTCTTAGCAACCGGACCATTTTAGCTATTTTGAAATATAGGTTAAACTCTTATAAAGTTCACCTCTCCGGTGCAGATACTTGTGTCCCGAACCATATCCACAAGAAAATTTGGAATTTCTTCGGTCACAGGACATTCGACTCTTTCAGTTTGGAATTGAGGGGAAGACGGTAATTTCCTTTTGTCTGGCGCTATTCTCTCTCACATATATTGGCTTCATTGGGACATGTCATGTACCCAGCTAATTGGCTCACAGTTACCGTCACCTCATAATGGGCGTTTGTTTAAGGTCCATGTAATCTTTTGTTGAGCCGCAAAGCTATCGTCCTCGGAATACATGGCTCCTTTTACTTTTTGAGAGGGGTTTTAATAGACACCACCCGGCTTGCAAAAAAATTTTCTCCTCACAAACTAGTGCTGGAGAAGAAGCTTGTAAAAATTTGGGTATGGAAAACAAAGTGCCTGTGTTTGAAACTAGATTTATGGTTTTGCCAGTAAGCAAGGAAAACTGATGATGCTCAAGGCATATGATGGGATATAGATAACGGGCTTTGTTTAGCTGTTCTTGTAGGCTTGTTTTGATCCCATAGCTAATGCGCAGTGAATTGTGACTGTGTGCAGGAGGTTTCAGGACCTATTCTGAAGGATTCTATCATGGACGCTCTGAAAGTCTTAATTGGTACTGAATTCTAACCGTCTCGATCCTTTTTTAGATGCAAATTTGTTTGTATACCCTTGCAACTGCTGCTGTTTTTCTTGTCGGTTAGATACCAAACTACTTTACTGGTTGCAATTTCAGATGTGAGAAATCACCCCCTTTTAATACATTGCAAACAAGGAAAGGTATAGTTTCATTTGTTCATTTACTTTATTTGTATGCTTTGTTTTTTCAACCTTGGAAGGGTTTTCTTGACCTTTTTCACTATCATCTGCTCATCTGCTAATCAAGATTGCGCGCGTACTCGAACTGTTGTTTTATTTTATACAGCATCGAACGGGTTGCCTGGTAGGTTGCTTAAGAAAATTGCAGAAGTGGTGTCTGTCTTCAGTGTTCGAGGAGTACAACAGATTTGCTGGTGCCAAATCGAGGATAGCGGATTTAAGATTTATAGAATCGTTTGACATATTATGCCTGAGGCAGTGCCTTTACAGCATCATATACCAGTACCAAGGATATAATTCAACCAAGAGGCGGTTGTTGTATAAAGAAGAGAATTTACAGAAGCCCCAGATGACAACCGTTTAGACGCTGCAGGATTCGATACCTGATTCGGTAGAATTCATCCTTTTTCAACACATGCAGTATGCAGTTGCTTGGAAGTCACATTAAAACAGGTCTGGCCTTGCATTTCTCTTTTGCTTCTCCCAGTGGATCCAATTTTACAGCATTTGTTTTCCATTTTCCAAGACCTTCCTTTGTTTATTTTTTAAAATACGGTATAGTAAAAGTGTAAAACACATCTGGCCTTGGTATTTTTTTTTTTTTTTAAATCTCCTCGCGTTGCTTGGCGCAAGTGCAACCAATCTTAGGCACTTGTCTAGTGATATGTTATACTTTCTCAAAGTCCAGATGATAGGAAAGAAATGCATTCGTCCGTGACACGGTATTCTTTTTAGATTTTTAGAATCTGAAAGTTGTGTGCGTGCACTATTTCACTCAACAAAATCTAGAAAGGAAATTCCTTTAAAATACCGGGAGGGGGAAAGAGAAGAAAAACATGAAGGCGTGAGGGGTGCACATTATTTCTGATTAATAGTTTCGTCTGAAATTATTTTTCTTACAAAGTCAGCTGACTAGGTTGTGCACGCATCGCGTTTCCTGATATGAGAGAAGTGGCTGCCTGCGTGGGGGTGGGATGGGTTTGAAAAGGGGGGGGGGGAGTGGGGTGTCGCAAATGATTCTCGTTGCAATGTTCTCTGGCTAGTTAAAATAGCCCACAGCGATGCATGTTAGACTACAAATTAAGTGGTTGGTTTTCGACTTTCAAGGCGGGGGTGATTTGGGTTGGAAGGATTGAGTGGTTTCACTTAGTGGGTCTATTCCATGTGGGCGGTGGATTTGAATTGCTCGGATTGCAAGTGTTGATAGGCGGCCCATCATCTAGCACCGACAAGAACTGATTAATGAAACAAATTAATTGGTTAAAGATACCCTGTGACTGTGAGCATGACGTGCCTCCCATGCATGTCATGTCATTTGCAAATAGCATCATGTATAAAATTGAAACTAAGTCCACCCCGATAAAAGCAAAACTCAAAAATACTTGTTATGGTACCCATAAAACTCCAAACCTCAGGCTGTTACAAAAATGAGGAACAAGAAGTCATGAACGTCATGAGGTAGCCAGAATTAATGCTAAATATATTTGCGAAATGCGATATGATGAGGCCCCAGTAGCGGCCAAGGGAGTAATTGAAGCACTGGATCGCCATCACCGGAAGATGGCAATCGAAGCGGCTGGACCTGGACCAGGACCAAGAACAAAATAACAGCGAGATGATGAATCCCAACTTACAGAAATAAACAAGGCTTCCCGCTGTTGGCAGGCTGACATGTACTATGGAAATCTGCATCATATCTTTATCAAAAAAAAAAAAAAAATCTGCATCACATTAGGACCATCTACAACAATAAGTCAATAACCACCCCTCTTTTCCACTTAGTGGGAGAAATACCGAGATTTATTTTGCAAAATTGCTTAGTTCTTTATGGGCATGTTTTGTAGCTAATTTAGCTGATAATGTGTCTTTAGTAAGGTACTCCCTTCCTCCAATCTCAATTATAAAACGCTTTCAGTAACTTCACCCAAATCAAGGAACAACAATTAATTAATATATCTTGAAATGAAAAAAATTTCAACTTTATCCCTTTTAAAAGTAATAAGAGAGAGATATATATTATACAATGAACTATAAAATAAAATTTATATTAAAAAAAATTAAAAAATTAAAATAAATAACACTTTATACGTCTTATATTAATGATTAAATAATTCTTATATTGAACCTAAGGGACTATGTATTTAGGTCACACTGTCTATTATCCATCTTCTAAAAATAAGATATATATTGATGATGTTGGTGACTAAATTATTTTAAAACACGTAATTATACAATAAAGAAGAAAAAAATTAAAATAGAGATGACGTGTGAGAAGATGATTGGTGGAAAGGAGACGCGACCAATGAGATGGCTGAATCTGAGCCGAGCTCACGAGCCCGTCAATTTACTCTATGCTTGACGGATAAGACTATAAATAAATCAAGTTGACCCCTAGATAAGCAGTTGCTCAAGATTCGTGCAGGAGCGATTGTCCGTCGATTGAAGAGTTAGTTTAGGGTTTCTAAAGCGTCCCCTTCTTCCCATTCAATCCGCAGTCCGATCACCTGCCTAATCTTTTGAAGCACCGGGCCAGTCGGGGCGGCATCCCCTTGATACCGCTATTTCCGCCAATATCATGACCGGGAAGGCCAAGCCCAAGAAGCATACTGCCAAGGAGATCGCCTCCAAGGTCGACGCCGCTACCACCAATCGGGGCGGAGGCAAAGCCGGTCTGGCTGACCGTAGTGGTACGGATAAGGGTGGCCACGCCAAGTATGAGTGCCCTCTCTGCAAGACCACAGCCCCTGATATCAAGTCTATGCAGATTCACCACGACGCTCGTCATCCTAAGGTCCCCTTTGAGGAGTCCAAGCTCGTGAATCTCCATGCCACCCATGGGCCCGATTCGTCCAAATCTCGGCCCGGCGTTCGTGGTAGCTTTAAAAAGTAAAAGCTGCTCAAGTTTATCCCTTGTCTGCTCGATAATTTCCCCCCTGTTGCTTCTCTCCCTTGTTATTCCACCTTTGCCTTTTAACGACTTCACTACTGCTACGGCTTCCGTGTTATAAAGCACTTTGCCACTTGGGTTTGCTTTTTCTTTTTCCTCTGCATTTAGTGTGATGCTATGTGAAGCGGTGGAGAAGGGATATTAACTTGTTCTTAATAGGGCCCTTCTTTAATGTCTGGGAAGTTTACTTTGTTGTTTTTGCACTATTTATGAGGATCATGACCATGATAACTACGATGATGTTCGGATGCTTAGTTACCTTCTTGTGCTAGTAAGTTGTCATGGTTTGTTGGTTAACTAGAGTGATTTGTCCGCAACCTGTGATGAGTTAGAACTTTGAACACTGCGACTCCCTATATATACATATATTCATCAAGGCGATGATAGAGTTGGTGTTGGTCATGATGTCGATAATGAATTATGAAACTATTGATAGGTCAAGGTTTGACAAATTTCTGTGATGCTCTTTATGGTGAGGACGATGTCATATTTTGCTTAGTTCATGTTGATGGTCGAGGTTGTCCAACTTTTGATTGGACCGTGTTGGTTTGGAAGGATTGCATTAATTTCGTTTTATGACATTTCATTTATCCAGTAAACTGCAGAACCGGGCTAGGCAGGTATCTGAACAGTCTGTGGAGATCCAAAATCTGAATGATGAGAGGGAGAGCACGATGGGAGGCCAAGCAGATTATATAGTTAACAGATCTTACATGAGAAGAGAGAGATCTATTTTAACGAATGTTTGCCTTCCTGAAATTGCTAGCATGATCCCGACTTTATGTGAACCCTCGTTCTTTTACCTCTTAATATGATCATACACATACTGGCTGGATATCTGTATTGAAGAGGCACACCTCTTTGTTTTACTTTCGGTTCGAAAGGAGTTTTGCAACTCGACTTGTTTTTTTTTTTTTTTTGACCCGGACACGACCTGTTTAAGAGCTATGTTACTTAAGTTATGTGCTAGACCTTTTCTTTTTTCGGTTTGGGGATCGAGTTTGCGCTTAAAGAAGGAATGCATGGCACACTAGCTATCTTCACCTTATTTCTTATTTAATCTTTTGACCTTTGGGGTATTTGCATTGGGAATTGTGGATTGGTAGCTGATTTTGATCTGTGTTTACAAATTGCAACTCGCAGAGTCGTATCGGTGTTTCCATAAATGCAGTTATTTAATTTGTTCAAGCTTTTTGCGAAGTCATTGTAACGTTAAGTGCCACGTCGTCCTAGGTTATCAATTATTTTGTTTTGGCCTCTTGTAGAACTATTATGCTACAAGATTGACGGATATATTAATATCTTTGGCAATCCCATTCTTATTATTTGTGTGGATGAGTTGTTGAGTTGAACACGCCTAGTAATTATAGGCTCTTGGGCATTCATCTTTTGAATGGTTCTGGTGATAGCTGAAGCGTGCAGCCTATATTACCTAGTTTTGGGTAAGAGTCCAGACTCTGATTTTTGGTAGAATTAGAAATCTTTTTATTCTTCACCTCTCCGCGAGATGCATTCAGTTAGTTGGAAGAGGGCCTGATGTGAACAAGGAAATGGGCAAGTGGATAGGTGATAAGCTCGATTATAATGATACAATACAATATGGTATTGAGAGGTCATCGTTTGAGGGTTCTCAAGACAGCTATTTACATAAAAATTCAACATAAAATAGATTTCAACAAGGAATAATTATGCTTTTAAAGTGTAATTAATAATTTTTAAGGAGCTATCTTCATATTTAGTTTCATATGTATTATCATGAAAGAGAAGATTAAAAAAAGATTGTCATTTGGTCAAAGGAGTAAAAAGAGTAATTGATATTTACTGATAAAATATAACATCAAAATCAAGCATAACGAGATGCAAATACTGTATGCATTTTAAATCGGGATACCATTGCTAAGATTCAAAGAATGATGCAAAAATTGGGACACTAACGATGGACCAAGATGCGTTCAAATACTAAAAGAAACCTACTGGGACTGCATGCTGAGGGTGGTTTATAAAGCAGGAACTATGAAGGAAAATTGTGCACGGCCCGATGATATACAGACGTGGATGCTAACGATGGAGTGAGGGAAGGACTCGCATCATCAACAATGGGAATGCAAGTATCATAGATAAGAGTATCTTTGTGCTCCTGTTTGGACCCCAGGAAACCCGTGTCAACTTCCTTTAGCTGCTGCCCTGAAAGAAAAGGCTGGATTGGACCCATAGGTCTTACACAATTGAGATTGAGTCCAGCTGGAAGAAAACTTCCAGATGAGGGAAGATTCAACGGTAGTGACATTGGAAAGTCGGCAAACACTGAGGTCATAGAACCAGGTTGAGCCGTAGCACGACGACCTGAATTCATTTCATAAGAGCCGTAAGGCAAGGTATTGCTGAAGGGAGTATACTTCATCTGGCATAAGGAGGAAGATCCGAAATTCATCGCATCACTAAAACCAATTAAATCGGGCTTCGGTAACTCGTTGCTAAATTCAGGCTTCCTCTCAAAATGAGGAGCAGTGTTTGGAACTTGACTTTCAGGCTTTGGAATACTAACATTCCCAGGTAATGCAAGAGCCGCTTGTGCATTGGCTGCACTTGGAAGTATAGCAGCACCACTCGAGTTCATTTGATTGTTGCTTCTAGCGGTGGGCACTTCATGGTTGTGTTTACCCACATAAGTAGTGATTATAAATTTTAGATCGTGTGAAGCCCTTTCCACATGTTTCCTCACAAGACAACCAGCACTTGTGCATTTGTAGTAGCTCCTATAGAAGATCCAAAACAACAAAATATAATATCAGTATACATGCTCAAGTCATAAATAATTGTACGATCGTTATAGCTATAACCCAAGTCTTAATAAACAACATAGAGTATGCATAGATGCCGCATCTGGTACAAGGTTCTAATCTACTCATAACAAGAACTAGTTCTGGAAAACAGATACGAAGAGATTGAAATATTGAACGGACGCAAACGTCCCTGACCTGAAGCTTGGCTGTCAAAAATATCATACTCTCAGCAGTCAAAAAATGTACCAAATTTTAAGAGGGATGGTATAAAAAGAGGAAAAAGGGAAACAAATCTGAACAAGCAGGGTTCCTTGCTAAGAATCTAGTTTAATTAGGAAGCGTACATTATTCTATCAATCTCTGGTGCACTAGTTCAACAGTTTCAGTTATATTGGAACCAATTCAGAATCTCTTGTAATACTTCCATATGCGTAGAATGACACATCATAGGCACATACATATGCAATCTTGCAAACCATACAAGGAATGGAGAGAGAGATCATCACCTAGGGTTTGGATTTCCTTTGACAACTTTCTGTCCATACTTTCGCCAGCGATAACCATCATCAAGTATGTCCAATTCACTCTCAATTTGGACAACTACCCTTGGCTCACGGACAGCCCTTGAACCAAAATTTGAATCAATCAAGCAGATCTCTTTCTTCCTACAAAAAATAAATTCAGAAACATAAATGTCAGTTTTTCACGTCCTTGTCACCAAGAAGACGGCCATCAAATAGAAAATAAAACCTTCTTTTTGACTCAAGTTCTTCATCTGCATCCTCTTCAAGTGATATGCTTCCTTGAGTTGCTCCATCTTCATCATCATCTTGACTAGCAAGTGTAGAAGAAAGCTCTAGAGTGTCCTCTGACTCAAACATACTGATAGGTTTCCCCTTGTTAGTTGATACAAGATCTGAGAGTTCAGTTACAACAGAAGTTGATGGTGTCCTTTCCTGATTATCAGCCTTCCAATCCGAATTTTGTTTTATATCTTTCATCCCTGAATGCATATTTCTCCAACCACCATCAACTTTGACAAAGGTTCCACCACCTTCACCCATTTCTAACATCTCATCAGTAGAAAGTGCTGAACCCAGTGATGGTCGGCGACTAGGTTGAGGTTTCCCATGATTATGAGTACCCTTGTAGATAATTTCAGTTATTTGGCCATCAAGAGATCGTTCCACCTTTTTCTTGACCTGACAGTTAGGATGGGTGCATTTATAATAGCTTCTAGGATATTCACTACCTTTAACCTGCTTCTGTCCATATTTTCTCCAATTGTATCCATCCTCTGAGGTTCTTACCATTCCCATCAAATAGGATGTCTCTCTCTTGCCTTCTTCCATAAGATTCTGCAGTCCAATGTCCCTGTTAGCCTTGTTAGGTGGAAAGCTTTTGTCAGTAGCTTCCTCAGAACGATGCATTTGCATCTCAACATTGTTAGCGTTATAAATTGCATCTTGTACCATTCTCACATCATCATAAGAATGTAATTCACTTTTTATTTTATGTCCTTTAGGAAACTCTGCCGGAATTGCAAAATCCAGTAGCGCTTGATCAGGCACAGGTGGCTGGCAATCTGAAATTCCTCCCTTTGCTATAATGCAATGGTCAGAAACCTAATCAATTCAAACAGGCCAAAGATTACATTTGTGTCGAGTAAATTATTACTTACTTCAAATCTGATATATTGGATGGTATTTGGGAAAGATTAAGTTTACAGGAAAAACATTTAAAAAAATAGAAAAAAAGAAAGGAACAAAATTTAGATATTTTGAAGCACTCTTGCATCTAAATTTTTCATGATGGTAAATAGACGGAAACTTGAGGTAAAAGACCTTCGCCTATCCCTCAGATTACCTATATCCAACTGGGAAATAGTGATCTGGTTTTCATTCTAAATTAATATGCAATTTGAACCATCTGATTTCTGTCAATTTCGCAACTAGTGATATGGATTGCTATCTGAAATGAACTGAGTGGAATGGCTGGAATTGTATGATTTGAGCTGAAGGAAGGAATCACGCAATCTGACAATTCAACATAACTTGAATACCAAATCTGTTTCATCTTTCTCTAAAGTGTCTATCTAAACCCATTTTGATTATTTTTCCTCATCCTCAGAATCACTTTTACCATTTGATTTTCTATTATATTCTATGTACCAAATGGGCCCTTCGTGAATATTAACATTTTTAGTTTATTTTTTGGATAATAGTGAGTGGCATTTTATTTTCCTCTTCCATTCCAAAATTAGCCACCAAGAAACTACTCTGATTCTTTCTATTTTCATGAGTAACTTGTGGAGCACCTTGAGTTGTTTCTTTCTATTTTCCGGCTTCTATCATGAGACCGTGAAGAGTGCTGTGGATTGTGGAGTACGTCTGTGTTATAGCTATGGGTTCAGGAAACTAACGAAAAGAACCAAATGGTTTCTAGTAGTAACAATATCATGCATTTGGACTATTGATTTTTTTTTTTTTTACAGCAGTAAACACTGACAACATGATTAAAGCTATAAGAAATTAGGAATTAACCCACAAGAGAGTGCGAGGGATGAATGCAAAAGTCAGCAAAAGTACTCGCGGCTCGTTTCCATTTGGTAGGAGGAGGAAAGCATACTCTCTCTGTCACCATATGCATATTCCTCGGGATGTATGTTATATCTAGGTAATTACCACTCAATAATTTCTATTCTTTTTTTTTAAGCAGGAAACTATTATCATTTTCCTTTTTCTTTTCGGTAAAACTACTGTCATTTTCTATACTCAATAAGTTTTCCCCTCATTCAAATCACATATTTTCACTTCACTAATACATCCCAGTATAAGAAATGGGAAGAAGATTGTTATCAAAAAAACGAAACGGGAAGAATATAACATGACGTAGGCAAGTACTGTTGTGTTAAGAATGGGACATGAAGAATGCAAAGTCATGATGCGATACATGATAAAAAAAATTCTACCTGAATTGACAAAAAAGAGGAAGGGGTACCTGAATTTCGAGAATAGAGGAGGCAGGAAGAGGATTGTAATTGGCTTCGGGCTTGAATTTGGAAGATGAAGCAAGGCCAGTGCCGGCATCGAGAGGGACGGAAGTGAGAATTGATCCTTGGTGACTGAGAGGAGGCAGCAGAAAAGTTCCAGTGGTGGGAGATGGTAATGCCTAGAGCAAGACAATGTCAAGTAAGTCAAAAGATTGGGGATACAGCAGAAGGAGAGAAATGAACAGGAGAGAGTTAGTTACCTGAGAATTAGGAAGCATGATGGCCGAGTCAAGCAAGGCGGTGGGACTAATACCGGGGGGTAGAGTGACACGGGGGGAACGAGCCGCCGGAGAAGCCAATTGGCTAGCTGTGCGAAAGCGAGGCGTATTTATTCTGGCGGCATCGGAGCTGAATCCCCTTCTCTCTGCGATGCTCCGTTTTGTCAGCGATCCGCGCAAGCCCTGAAACTCTGGGCCTTCTCCCATTTGATAACTATTCTTCTTGTTGTAATTAACGTCGGCGTCTGCCATGGCGGGTGGAGCTGATAATTCGCATGACTTGGACACAGTCGATCTCGTATTGACAGGGGCGGGTACAAGTTGGAGATTGGACTCCAAGACAGTGGAGCCGAAACCAAAGAAGTTCAGGATTGGAAATCGGTGCCTTGGAATTTTCACCAAGCTATGCAATGCTTGCTAGTCAGCGGGTCGTTTTCGCTCTCGCCCACCCAGACAACGTACAGTACGCGAGAGAGAGAGAGAGAGAGAGAGACAATAGGACCCACACTCCTCCCTCGCCTTTAGGCTTTTTTCCCCCTTTTTATTGTATTCTATACATAGAAGATTACGGACTCGAATGGTGTGATAAAATACACATGAAGGAGAGCTCTAAGAGAGAGAAGAGGCCGTCATGGTGATCGGCGATAAAATCTAGAGAAGTTAGATTGGGATTTAAGGGGAGGGGACGCGTGGGCATCTTAGAAGATGAACTTCGGAAGGAATGACATGTGAGGAATTTCACCCCACATGTCTCGTGCGTCCTTAAAACAGCACCTGATTATTGCGCATCTTCCTTCCGCAAAATCATATCTATAAGGAGCCAACTTCGGATCTTCATTCCTTCCCTTGATCTCAACCACTTTTCATTCCCCTCCCCTCCCATCTGTCGATCTCTCTTACAAAATCATAGAAGACAGAGTCGCCAACCCGGAAAACCAAATCCATCCCAACCAACAAAAAAGGAAAAGATTTCTATGAAGAAGCTTGAATTTTTAAGCGCTCTTGTTGAAATCCAATTCAACAGTGCTGCCATAAACCCAGTCTATCGAGATTGTGCAAGCTGCTCTTCAGGCGAAGTGGTTGGATACCCCTATTGCTTTTAGAAGCCAGCGCGAAGCATTATTGGGCATCTGTTTTATCATGTTCCTTGTTCCAGAACTTCTCTTGCTATACCGACTAGCTGAACCTTGAGAATTGTTGCTTTTCCATTGATGTCTACGACCGAATCCTTCATCCCAAAAGAATGGATTAACTTCGTGTCCCTCTTCCGCATTCTCCTTCTTTCTTTATTTGCGCACTGTCCGCCTCTTTCAAAAGGTGTGGATTGGTCAACCTGAAGATCCATGAGCGAAAATCTGTAGCATTTAGATAATCTAGAAAAATTCCTTCCCGGACTCCACAAACTCGCATCTGAATTGGGGCTTTCATGTAACTTACGTTCATCTTAAAACTGAACTTTTCATGTGTGTGAAACTCGAGATCGATTTCAGAACTGAGTGGTTAAGTGAGCTTCGTCAATCTGGTCCTGGTTTGGAGGTCGTGAGTTTTCCTTTGGACTCTGGGACCTTGAATAACCACGTTTTTGCATCCGCCTCCTTTAAAATGAAATGAGAACGGAACTACGCATTCACAAATTCATAAGAAACCTTGATCTGAATACATGCTTGGCTTATTACCCTATGGATGTAGCCAAGTGAATACTAAACGTTCATCAAGTTTGTTACGAATTACTTATAAAGAAAATTACTGTGATTGTCAAGTCAATATTGCTATAATGTGGGTTTAAGCTTCGGAGAATTACTGTATCTGAGTAGATTTACTAGATATGAGTATTCATCTTAGCGTACTGCCAAACAATATAACTCATTACTAACAATCATATATGATGTAATAAACTGAAAGCAAAATCATACATTATACATTATCCTTCACACAAAAGTTAACTTAAGCAGACCGATTCAGAGTCCCCAACATATTCAACAGCTGTGCTGGCTACTTCTTGTCTAGTCATGGTAGTGCTGGAAGCCGATGATCCCATGGTTTCCAACATGGCACCCTCACCCAGCCTAAGCATCGCTTTTCTCTTGCTTTTGCTTCTTCGCCATTTTCTCAGCAACTCTGAAACTTCACCCTCATCTCCTTCCCTCATTTGTGATTCTTCAAATTCTACACTCCTCAGTTCTCTCAGGCTACCATGTTCCCTGGAGTTCTCTGGTATCACCATAAAAGTGAGTGGCCTACAGAAACACAACAAAATCATAAGCAGCACAATGTAGATATACAAGGACGCCCACACATAAAATGTCCACTTCCAATTGTGAACCAATTGTTTAGCCCCAGCTAGTTGGGAGTTCATTATAATCTCAGCTTCATATATTTGCGGCAGAGATGACGTCCCTGCTCTCGGACACAAAATGGCTTTGATTGCTTTGGTTCTTCGATTGTCCTCCCTGTGCCTCAATATTTCTACAATGATCTTCTGGGTTTCCTCAGAGATTCCCAGTAACAAAGGCATGCCCATTATCAATGTCCTAGCTAGTTGGACTGGGAAGCTTCTATACCGCAGCATGATTGGCTGGCTAGATTTCGCTATAACATTGCCATTCACTGATAGGAGTTCTGCGCTCAACTGCAATATATAACTCTCAAGTAACAGATCCAGGAATAAAGTACAAACACTAATGCCAAGTTAAAACAAAATGCAAATTAGCTGATAAAAGCGTACTGCTGCTTTATTAATTGGGTCAGAGTTGGAAAAATCGAAGCCGAAGAGAGTAATTTCTTAATACATATGTTATATGTAGTTCACAAAGCATAAAGCAATGAGATGGGATAGCGACTATACTAATTATAGGCGCGGGAATAAGAGGCATTTCCAAATGCATAGTATACATGCATTTGAGCGCAGGCACACACGCACAGATATATGCAAGGAATGTACCCTTCAAATAACTACCGAGCTGTAGAAATCAACGGCAGCCATGTAATTAGAAACGCAGCCTCCCGCTCTACCTTTGCCAGAATTTCATGCTGTCTTAGAAGGTATGCAAGTACATGCAATGCTGTGTATGCATATATACCTGAAAAACGCCAGTCTCCCTATTGAAGTCAGATTCGGGCATGACAAGGACCAAGGAAATGTCAAATGTATGGCCAATTGGAACACCTATCCGGTTCTTGCTGCTATAGCCTTCACCGTCAAAGGAAAAGACAGCCGTAGGGTGAGCATCGGAGTAATCAAAATGCAACTTTTCCCTCACGAACACAGGCTCCTCTGCCCACCAATGAACCAACCCAACACCCAGCACAACAGCCAGAACTAGAACCAATAATAGAACCGTGCACACATAAGCAGCACTGAGAAAGCCAAGTCCGAACCTCTTAAGTAAGAGGATGGAGGTGGAGGGGATTTGGTGGACTGCCGATTCATCACTGCCTCTGGTCTCGTCGGCTTGATGGTAGGACTCGGACGCAACGGAGAAGGGGTTGAAGACAGAAACCAAGCAGTTGAGGATTAAACCGGCCGGGAGAGCTACAAGTTTTGTGACCCAATTCGATGGTTCTGGAAAAAGAGCGGAGAGCTTTTCGTCTTCGTCCATGGAGTAGCAGAATTCAACAGCGCGGTTTCTAAGAAACTGGGCATGCAGTGCGAGTGCAACAAAAATCGAAATGAAGAGAGGGGCCGGATATGCGAGCGAGAGAGATCGAAGTGGCGAATGGTACGGCAGCACACGTGTCTCCTGCCTTAGATGGGTATGATGTCGTGGCAAAGGTGCATCAAGCAGGGCCAGCTGACGCGTCAGTCCCTCGCGAGTCATGCAAAACGCATAATTAAAATTTGGGTTAATCGGGCCTAAAACTTTTTTTGCAAGAAGCGGATGATATTTTAAACTGTTTTTGGAGTAAAATCGGCCCAAGACTTAAAAACTAGTGTAATATTAGTATATTACCCCATCATTAACTTAAACGCATATTAATAGTTAAATGTTTGGTTTGATTGACAAATTTACCTGTGAATCTCTCTGAGTTCTTCTTTTTCCTTCCCTGTCACGCATTCTTGCTCGGCACAGGAACACACGAATAGAGCTATTTCGAAGGCGCGCACTCGGTAAAATCATTATATCTAACAATATATCAAATCATCATTATCAGATTCTACCATGATAATTAAAAGATAATCAATCTCAAATATATTATCATGATTAAAAGGACTCAACTACAGTTAAAAATTATTAACCATGGTAAAAAAGGAAAAGTTAACTATGATTAATAAGATTTAACTTACAATATTAAAATAAAAATTCATATTCACTACCACAGTATAAAGAATTAATTCGATGTTTCTAAAAAAAAAAACTATCATAAGAAAATAATTGAGTAAAACCTTATAGCAAAAGTGAGTGAAAATATGGGATCCTAAGTTTAGAAATCCATTCTTCTAAACAAGACATATATTAAACATCTACTATCTAGAGTTCACAAATCTTTGGAAATATAGGATACCATTTACAAGTACAAATATATAAAGTGATTGTAAATCAAATTGTTAATAAATAGAGTTGTCCACCATGAGCAAGATATGATACACCACAACCGACAACATTCTATGATGTGCACGATGGCATAGGCAACATTCGTCATGGCACATTGCAAAGTTTTGGGTAGTTCTTAACTATCAATTATAAATCCAAGGCTCGAACTTTTAACGCACTTTGAATCTTTGTTCGACGTTTGATTAAAGTAATCTAAGATTTCATAAATAGGTAATTCAATGACTAGCTAAGAGCATCGATTTTTCTTTTCAAATTATCACATGCCTTAAAGTTGGATACCTAGAATTACGTTGGCCATGTTTTCACATTTTAACACATTTAAAGTGTCCAAAACACATACCAAGTGCCAAAAGAAAATTACAACCTTTAGACTACACTCAACAAACTTGGAACTACTTGTATAATGCACCACAATCACTTTAAAATAGCTTATAAAAATTTTCAACCCTTAACTCTAATTTCTCAAAGTCAATGAAAGGGAGGTTTTCATACCAAAAATCTACATTTATCATAATCCCATATCAAATGACCACATGCATACTTGCATCATAAATTTTGGCCCAATGCCTATTTACATTATCAAATCATAAATTTCTTAAGCCAAAATACACTAATGATATGGTTTACAAAAGAATCATGCAAGTACAAACAATATGCAATCTTAGTTGGCAATAATCCTTACACATATTACCAAAAAATATTAAATGCATTATAGAAAGGACAGCTAGTCCTTGCCTCTGAAGCCCCCCCTTTATGCCTACAGTACTATCACCTAAGAAATATTAAAAAGAATGAATACAACCACTTAGTAACTTAGGTATACTGTTCCAAGCACATACCAAAAAAGTTAATAATAGTCATGTAAAGTAGGCATACATGATTATCCAAATCAAAATACCTAAGCATTTTAACCAATTAAATAATGCATATGAATGCCCTCCATCTTATTACATCCATTCAAATCCCTTAACGATGTCAACATAACTAAGGCCAGGTTATGGACTAACCTAACCCAAGCTCACCAATTATGAAGGACGGCTGGACCAAAAGCTACCTTGCTCACTCTCAAACCATGACTCCCCTATCCTCAAATAAATAGGGTGTCATATAATGCACTTTATACCATCTCTCACATACCAAGAATTGTAATACACAGCTCTGACTGAACTCCACAACAATACTCTTATAGGAGATGATAATTTATATCTCTCGCCAGACTCCACATTGCTACTTCTATTAAAGACAATGATGCGTGACAGCTTAAATGTATACCAGACTCCACACCAATTTCCCCATTAATGAAGGTGATTCATGATACGTGCTAAACACCGAATGTCTAGGTGTTGGAGAATCCATGTTGATTTCAACTTTCTCCCAAGTAAGGCACTATTACCAACAATCACACAAGTCATGTTCAATGCCTAGAAGAAAAGTAATCAATCATGTGCTTGAACTTTTCATAAACCACTTGCGATAAACAACATTTATCAATTTAAGAATACCATTAAACACATGCTTAAGCTTTTCACAAGTCACTTGCAATAACCAACATTCATTAATTTGAACACATTGAAATATGTACATATTTTCCCAAACAACCTTGCTTACTTGCATGTATTTCAAAAGCATAAAAAACAAAAAATTGTTATATATACAAAAATATAATTTCACACTCACAATATCCATTAATCAATTAAAAAAAGCAAATGCAAGCAATAGTTTCCCTCAGTTACCCCAAACTTTTATGTCACTAAATGTTACCCTTCAATTAGACTTGCTTCCAAAGTTAAATCCACACTCAAACAATACGTGTGATATTTAGTCTGCAATTTGACAAGCACAGTCATAATATTACTCAATGATGTTGATTTCCATCCTCTTACGTTGTACCTAATCAACCAAAAAATTAACCTCTTCTATTTTCTTAGAACCATAGGGGCCATTATTACCTACTCAAAGCTCCACAAAACACAAAATTGCCAATTCATGTTATTTATACAGGGTTTAACTACCCTTAATCAACCAAAAAATGGTTTCCTTACTAAAATGATCATTCTTACAATTCAAATAATTTTTTTAGGCCCCAATGAACTTAACCAATACATCCATGTCTTTCCTTATCATAGATTTGAGCATTATTTAATGCTAGGGTTTGCTAAAATTCACTAAAAATCGGACCAATAGTTCAAATAATAAGTACCTACCATTCTAGCAGTAACAACAAACCTCCAACAACTCCATTACATCTATAAATTTTGGCCATAAACTCTAAAGAGTATAATCATCAAGATTCATGATAATCAAAGCATTAGTTATGAGTTTTAAAATCTAAAGCTTATCAAATTTAGACCTTTATGAAATAGGTCATTAGTCATCATTGGCTTGGTAGGGAATAAAAAGAAAAGAACAAACTCTAAGGAGAACACAAAGATATTACACCCACAGAATTATGTAATGTATATAAGCACCTTTATATTATCAATCACACTTTGAACAATTATATAAGATGCATACAATGATGGTGAACATTTAAGATATGTTCATAATTTTATACAAGCAATAATGAAGCAGATTAGCTTATAAGCAATATATAAGTCATATCAAATAAACTATCTCACATATAATAAATTTTTAGCAGACTCTAACTTACCACCCAACTACATCATTGCATCAACTACAATAACTTTCTTTATGCATTATGTCTTTGCAAAGGCCTCTCAATATGCATCATGTAATATTCACATATCACATGGTAAGGACTCCCTTATTCATCCACAATTATTTAAAAGCCAAAGAAACTATTAGATTTAATTCAATTAGATTATCAAGTTTGTAATTTGTAGAAATGGGATTTCAAATTTTTCATATGTCAAAATTACTTAAACATCATTTAATGAACCTCAAATCAAAGTAAAATATTGTCTTTTAAAACATGAGATACTTTTTAAAAGTTAAAGGGACTCATAACCACTAACTTTTGAGTGATGTGTCATGGCATGTACACATGCACCTCAGCTGTCCCTCTCTATGCATATGCGCCATGGTAGGCGTCATGTATTGTAGCATGTTGCACATTATCAAAATAAAAATGTTAATGGCTATCTCATTGTAGGTAAAAGATTAAAATTTAATGACTATGCACAATATTTGATTTCTTTTTATATGTCCTTAATTTGTTCTACTAGCTACTTATGACATGATAACAGAAAAATACAAAACAGTGTACAAAATTTGTTATTGTAAACTGAACAAAGGTAGAAGCTCAAAGTATAAAGTAACAATGAAAAATAATGGGGCAAGGCAAAACTACAAATCAAAACACCGACAGCAGAAAACACAAAATCATCCCATTTCAAAAGAATCTCATTCCATTTAAAAAAAATCCATTTTATATCAAAAAATAGTGGGGCAAAATGAAGAAAATTGGATTGTAGGAAGCATGATTAAAAGATGATGGGAGGCAAATTGAAATCCTTGTTAGGGATGATGATGAAAAGTTATAGGAAAAGACTAAAAGAGCACCTAAACCTAAATCCAACAAAACCATAAACCTAAAGCTTTAAAAAAGAGACAGAAAGAAGAAAGATTAAGATGATAATGTGAAAATGAACAAATAGAGGGGAAGGATAAGGAACATAGAAATAGAGAGAGATGAGATGATAAAGAGAGATAAAGCATGGTATGGATATTCAAAATTTGTTCTTAAATCTAAAGTGATTATTATGCTGCTAACCTGTTATCTTTTAATCCCTGTAACTATAAAATCTCACTCTACTAACCACAATTAATCAAACAAACTCATGGTAATTAAAGGATTAACCTATAAAGGTGATTACTAAGTTTTAGTTTCAAAATAAGGGATTTCAAGTTTTCTTAATCAAAATGGATTTAAATCAATCATAAACTTGTATATCAGAGTAAAAATAAGTTAAAGAAGTATGGGATACCTCAAAAGAGTGAAAGAAATCAAAAACAATTTAAAAAAAACATGTTTGTTATAAGACGGGGCAATGCGCCACAGCCTATACACGCTGTGTTGTGGCGTGTTGCTCTCTGTGCCACACGTTGCAGCTCAAGCACCATGCGCCATGGTGTGTTACACACAAATGATAGCA